TTGCCCTCAGTATGATTCGATCGCTGCTCTTCCACACTTTTGCCAAAGGCTCTCACAGGTGCTAAGTTATACAAAATGCTGGCAGGCAGGAAACTTTCATGCAAAACCGTGGAAAATATGCACTGCATAGCAAAGTACTGGCAAATGATTAGGAGACAGTCCTCAGGCACCTGCATAAGGAACGGTGAGCACTGTTTTCATTTTATACAGTGGCAAACCAATGGCAGATCTGCATTATGACTCAAAGGAGTGCCAGTTGGGCAAAGGCTGCTGGATGGCCTCTAGCATATGCACTATTTACTGGAGGGGCTCACTTCAAATGCTGCAGCCTGTGCCAGGAAAGGACACAACTGGATTAACACAGAGAACTCTCAGAAAGACAGTTAACAAAACATGACATACAAAAGCTCTGCAAGAGTTCAATTGGAACATATCTAAAGGCCCTCAACGAACATATCAGACATCTCAACTCTCTGCCAATAGAAATGAGAAGGGCGCTGTCTTTGTACGGTAACTTTTAGTAATTGCTTAATACAGCTTTGTCTGCTCAGCTTTTTGATAATCATCTTTTTCCTGTTGAGTGGACAGCAAAGAAATGCTTTGATTTATCCTCCTCCACTAAGCGTCAAACAAGAAATTATCATCTTTTGCAGTTTCTTTCTCAAGAGCAAAAGGCTTGCTGAGAAAACATCCTCCCACAAACACAAGCACTGGGAAAGAGTAAGAAGCCATCTTTATGACACAGTTATGATTAAAAAACACTCACTGCACACCTTTGCCAGTCTGAAGCTCAACGCTTCTGCCAATCTGATTGCTCTGTAGGCTGTCATCAAAAAGAGCAGTGAAGCAAAAGCAGCGGGAGCAGGACGACTGCCTGCTGCAGAGCCACTGGTCAATGCACAGGAGCAGCTGGACCAGTCAGCAGCAGGCACCGCAATGAGGAAAGGCAAACAGCCATTCTGTGGGCTGCTCAGGGTCTACAAGCAGCTCACAGTGCTGCCACAGAGCTCACAAAAGTGTGCTGTCAGATCCCAGCACCTAGGCCTGAGATCCAGAAACAGAAGTGAGAGCACCACAATACTTTTTTTATAAAGAAATTCACAATGCTCATTACAATATCAAAGGAGCATAGAACATATTGGGTTGGAAGGGACCTTAAAAGATCAGCCATGGGCAGGGCTGCCCCCCACCAGCTCAGGCTGCCCACGGCCCCATCCAGCCTGGTCTTGAGAGCCTCCTCTCAAGGAATAGGGTACCTACAGCTTATCTGGGCAGCTGTGCCAGCATCTCCAATATGTAATAAGCTACATCTTAGCAACTTACTGCTTCTTTACCTTTTTCCAGACTTATGCAGAAATATATATATTTCTGTATATATTGTTCTAAGATATATGTATTCATATATGTGTATATATGTGTGTATTCAAATTCAAAACTTTTAACTGTGAATGACCTATATAAATACCAGAATAGTAGCTTCTAACAAGTTTACCACAAAGAAAATTTTCAAGCCTTTATGATTTTGTCACCTTATCATTCTGAAAGAAATGAGATACATGCACCTAAGTGTTTTTGAAGACCAGGGACCTAGGGTGTATTTTCAGATTTCTAACAAAAGTCCTTGAAAAAGTCTGTCACTGTTTAATTTGGGCTATAAGTTTAACTTGAAAAAATATTAGGGAAAATAATTGTGAGAATTCCTGCTAATGGCATCATGTGTACGTTCTCCCTAAATGCATGCTTTTCAAAGTAATTCAATGTAATTAGATACCTGTCAGAATCATAAGTTCCAAAAGAATCGTGATTGTCCACTATAAGCAGTAAGTTGCACAACATTTTTATACTTAACATACCGCAGGATCTAGTTAAGCTTCAGGGGCTATTTCATTAGCAACCTTTAACAAACACAAACTAAATTAGCAGGGCACTTTGTAATTTACATCAAGGTGTTTTATGGTAGGTCTAAAGATGAAAAGTTAGCCTTTTTAACAACATCAGTAAACATCAGTTGAGCACAACATCAAGTTGCTTTTTAAATATACCAGACTGTAAACCTACTATATGAAGGTGAGAATTAAGCACTGCACAAGTCCTGTGTCCTGAACGACTGTCATTCTCATTAACCTGGATGCAGCATGAATATTGTATGGAAGTTTCACTAACACTGGAACAATAAGGCAGAAACTGAAAGAAAATATCTACCTGATATGAAACTCCAGTGAAATTTATGAGTGCTTGGGGCTGATGGCCCTTTTATTATTGTTATTAGCTACGCTAAAAGGCAGATGCACTCCTGTTGGATTCATTAAATTTTTATCTGTGTAAAGGACAAATTCTGCCTTCAGAATTACATGGGAGACACTCACTGAACTCCAGAGAGCATAGTATAATTACAGAATGTGTTTCACCGAGTTATTTTCTCATTAAAGTGTAAATAATAAATAACAGCAACAACTGTTCATGAAGTATTTCCCTTCGTATTCAAGTCTCTCCCTCCTTAAAAGTACTTGAATTGTCACGAAACATAATGCTTTATTATATTCTCACTACATATAAATACTCCAGGTAGGAAACGGAGGCAAAACAAAATGAAAGAAGTTGCCAAAGGTCAGCCAGTGGGCCAAGCAAAGCCAGGAAAGAATTTCTGAAGAATCGGTCTCTTCAAATACAAAAGAGAAATTAATGGAAACCTAAGACACCTACTATCTGAGTAAAGGACGTTCACAGCCATGAAAAATAAGCAGAGGCTAGAGTGAGAACTTAGATGAGTGCCCTTTACCAAAGTCAACCTCCCTGGAGAAGTAGGATATTATTTACTTTTAAATCAGCACTGAATGTCTAACTCCGTATGTTAAAGAGTCAGGATTTATCATCCAAGTTATAAGACACTGTCTATGATTTACCCTCAAACCTTGTAAAGAAATTTTAATTCCTCTTTACACCCTGAGCTTTTGATGGCTCCTCAGTGAGTGACTTTAGCTGCAGAAGGGAAAGATTGCCAACACTCACCAGCTGCTGAAAAACAAGGAGGCTGATACAAACATATAGTTCAGCAAAGATAGAAGCAAGACAGAAGTGGAAGGTGGATGCACGTTGTAAACAGAGCAAGTCTTAAGCCCTTCAGTTAAATTCTTGGCATGTCTGAAGGAGACACTAATCACAGCAATACCAAATAGTCAATCCTAAAGGTTTCTTTACATTTCTACACCTTAGGAATTTGCTACGTACTCAGAATAAAACAGTAAGTTTGGCTACTTGTTTAACCATAAGATAGGAAAAGAGCCTATCACTGCCCAAACACGGGAACTCCTGATATCCGGTAGTTTGTCTTTCAGCTTCCCTTGCAATTTTAGAGCCATTAGGCCTGACTGTGGCATTGTAAACATACCATGAGCAGACACAAAAACAGGTCTCCATGCCACCATGATCATGAGTGTCAAAGTGCCTATGCTTAAGCAGGTGATTTACAGTTGGAGCCAACAACAGAGTGAGTGCATCTCAGAGTGTATTCTTTAAACAGAAGTCAGAAGCAAACAGTGGGGAAATTGTTGGAAGGCCGGAGGGGAGACAGCAGAAAGCCCCAGAACGTGTGGTGGAAGAACTGGCAAACTGAAAACAAACGTGAGTTAGTCACTGGAACAGGTTGGCCAAGGAGGTTGTGGATGCCCCATCCTTGGAGGCGTTCAAGGCCAGGCTGGATGTGGCCCTGGGCAGCCTGGTCTGGTGTTTGGCGACTCTGCACATAACAAGGGGGTTGAAACTAGATGATCATTGTGGTTCTTTTCAACCCAGGCCATTCTATGATTCTATGATATGATTTGAAATGCCTGGTCTGAAAAATAAGCAGAAGAGCAACAGTCCGATGCACAGTCCTGATCTTTGCTCCATTGGACTCCTGCAGGGATATTCACCAAAAAGCTGCACACCTAGGACATTCCCCTCAATTCATGTTTCTGTGCATTTTTTTTTCATTCATTCAATTATCAAGACACTGGCATGTGATAAGATGCATTATCAAGAGCAATAAATATTCTTCACATGCACATACACGCCTGTAGCAAAAGCAAAGGACATTGAAAAGTAGGAAATATTAATGAAGTAAGGTAATTAGTTAGGGAGAAATGTTAGAGCAAGCTTTAGAAGCAGAACACAGAAAGCTTAGAGGCCGTAAAGACAGCAAGATGAGTATCAGCTTGCTCCTTTTTCTGGGTGTCTGAAAGTTGCTATTTTAAAATAAGTTTTCATACTGCAACATGAGACAGTTTGCAAAAATCTGAAGACATGAAAATTGTTTAACATTACTACTAACATGACTACAAATTTCAGTGTTTGAGTAAGTACAGAGCCACTGCCAAGGCCTCTATAGCTGTCTGTATCCACACACACACAAACACTTATACAGACAACACTACATACAATAAGCACTACACATGAAGTAATTTTTAAAAGAGAAACAGAGATGTATACATGACATACACCACAAAAAATTTTAGGTTGAACAAAGCAAAATGGAAATGAGCTTTACCCACACTGGACAATGATTGTATGGCAATAAAATGCAAGCTAGATTTTACTCTCGCATAATTTTTGATTAAAAGTGTCATTGACACAATCTATTAAAAAAATCAAACACACGCAAAAGCTTCATCTCTGCACAAGCACGTCAGATGATCAGTCTTTTGGGTTCAGGCACGCATAGAGTTTGTTGTAAATCTCTCTTTCCTAATGTTGTTCCTACACCACCTCCTACATACCTGTTGCATCCTGCTGCCTGCCACCTCCCTTCCTCTCCCTTTCCGTCCAGTGAAGATAGGGTTAGAGCAATGTGCCACGCAAAAGCAGCCTTCAGAGCCCAACACTGATGTGTCATCAGTACGGGTCTTGCTACGCTAATTATGCGTTAGAAAAGCATTGTCATGGCAACAAGGTTAGTTTCTGGCAGGCAAGGTTGGTGGGTTGCTTTAAAACGGAAGGCTATAGCCAGTTAGCCTCTGCATTACCATTATCGGGGTTGGTAAACATCCTACTTGCACTGGAGACGGTCTTTCCAATGTCTGCCAGAGAGCGCAGGTTGGACTTCTTGGTCTGGTGCCGGTGCTTCCTGAGCAGCGTGTAGGTGACTTTGTCCTTCATGTCTGCCTTCAAGAGCCCTGTCTCAATCTGATTGTCGACAATCATTTCTGTTGCACAGGAAGGGATGAGAGAAGGGAAACGAAAATGAATCCCAAAGCCCAGAACTTGACTACAGGAAAGGAGAGGAAAGGGAGAAGATGTTCACTATCCCATTTTGAATTCTTTCCTCTCCATCTCAAAGTTAACACCAGATATACCACTTTATTTCTAATGGGAATCTTTTAAAAACATTTCTTGAAATGTAAGAACCATCTCCATAGAGGAAAACCCATCAGCCACCAACGCACACTTTTTCCACCCAAATCCCTTTCTTTTCTTTTCATGCCACTAAGCAGGTTGCCAAACAACCCTTCACAGGACAAGATTGCTCTTAGCTCAGAGAGAGGGCTGCTCCAACCCTGTGTTGTGAAGAAGCGATAGCTACATCACGAGCTCCAGTATGACTCCAAAAATAGCATGGCAAAAATTCTATCAGCTTCAACAAGGCCTGAGTCACCTCACAGACCCATGCTAAAACCTCATCTATCTACAGGAAAAAGTCCTGGAGATGAGTCACTAATTAAATCTTTCATTCTTAGAACTGAAGTGAAATGACAGCAACTACAGATGGCAGAACCTGCTCCTGTTTTCAGATGACATGTTATAGGACTTGGTCTTCAGCCTTTAACCATCATCAATCTGCAACTCACTGCTTGCTTTCCATCAATTCTCTCCTCTCTGTTCCTTTGTCCCATAGGGGAGGGGTAAAGGTAGCTTGACTTATTGCAAAAGTCTCTATTGTGCAATAAATTTCACATTAAATTGTTTCCTTTATTACTTCAGTTAACATGCTAACCCCCAGGGGAAAGTGGCAGCTCTTATTTGTCTACTAGTAACTTTTATTTGTGCTAATAATAAAAGTTATGGGAAAGTGGAGGCAGAACATTCACTGCACTTGCTAACTCAGTGAGGCAGAAAGTCACTTTCTTCTAAAGAATTAATGCCTCTTCAAATCACTAGAGAAAAAAGCCTCAGACTTCCACTCCAACTCAGAAAAGAACGATTATACATGTGCACAAAAGCTTTATTTTTGTTAAGTGCTGTTTTTCTGCAAGCTTTTATTCATATTTTTTGTTAGTGATTTTTGGAATGCTTCCTTAGAACAACATGCCTTTCTTTATCAAGTTCATCCTTCTCCATCTAGCAAGTATTCATTCCTTTTTGTGCTTCTGATATAACACAAGTCAACAAACAGAGCTCCGTGCATTTTACTTTCCTGCCTAGTCTAGTCACTACTAGAAATCAGCAAAGTTTTCATGATTAAATAATTCTGGAAACCAAGTCGGCAGGCTTCTTAGAAATCCCTCTGCATCTAAGGAAGGATTTGGACCTTTAGCAGCACAAGTATCCCACACAGAACAGTAGTACAGTAACAGCAGCCGCTAATTTGTGATTTAACATCCCAGAAATTACATTTCATTTGGGAGATGAAAAAGGTTATTCAAGGTGATGTCTCAAAGTGACTTCAACCAGAATAATTTATTAAAAATAAAAACTTTGCAATATCACACACTGAGGTACACAGACACAAAAAGTACAGGAAGACAGTGTCATCTCAAGCACCTAAAAAAATAAGAAGCTCAAAACTCTGTAGGTAACATCTAACTTCAACTCTTACAAACTAATCCAACACTTGTCACTTGACAGTTTTATTTTATGCCAGGAAAATACTAAGCCTGAGTCCTGAGATTAGGATTCAAAGCATCAAGTTCTGTGGCATTTTTATTTTATTTTGAACTTCTACACCTCTTCACACAATGCCTTCTAAATTCAGGATACTGTTTAAATGTACCTCCACTGGATGGCTCACTTCTTAGATTTATTTTCATATGACCTTCCACACGTCACTGGGAACATGGTATAGCTCTCAGCAATGTCACTGAGCATCATCCTGGGCCACAGCTATTTTGACTGCAAAAAAACCCTGCTATCCCATTCAGCAGAGGGAAGCATAAACTGATCCCGTGACTGCTCTTCGTCCACCTTTGTAGCAGAGGAGCACTTTTATTTTAAACCTGCTTCTAGCAGCCCAGCCTGCAAATTCATCTGAAAATAGTCTATGATCTGACCACATGAGCCCTAGATTGCAACTTTCTGCCCAAAGCAATATTTGCTGGGCATCCCTATTCCAAGTGAAATAGCCTCTTAAATGTCACATTTCTGGTAGTAAACATAAATTAAGTCAGCGTATGCCTTTCCTTTCAAACACATGTGGTAAATTTAGGATATCTACCTCAGGATCCAAATGATTCTATTTAACACCAAAAAATAATTTAAAGCAAGCATAATTATTACTGAAGCAGATTCTTTTCCTCTTCTTCCTGAAATGAGGAAGAATGCTTTTCATACATTGACTCTCCTTCTCCAAGTACCTTCTAGGTTTCTGTTACTCCTAGGAGGATTATTTATTTGTTTTCCTCCTTTAATGAAAAAGTAGTGTTTTTGTTATACAGTGAAAATGGATGGGCTGCCTCAAACTCCTACCCCTAAGAAGAGGGGAAAAAGCCTGGGATCTTCTAACACTGTTATTTCACACTTTATTCCAGGAAGTCTTTAGCAAAAACAGCGATGCTCAGTTTCTTGCTTTCAAAGGAAACCACCACAAAGATCAATTGTAAGCTGATGTGAATTGTTTAGAGCAAGAACCAAGGAAGCTTACTTACCCACCACCTGAGGAAGAGAAGAGGCCTCCATATCCAGCATTATTGAGCCTTTCTCTATGCACGTCCTTAACTCAAACAAGCTGTGCAGGGATAATGTGGCCACATGAGGTTTACTCCATCGTTCCCCACCTTGTTCTACCTTCTCCTCGAACTTTATCCACCTACAAAAGGGCAGAGCAATGAGACTGTGTTAAAGCTGTTGCACCCTGTGCGCAGATCTGAAAGAAGCAAGACAGCTGAAACTTCACAACACACCAATGAGTTCAAGCATACACATTTTCCCTCTTCACATCTCTAAGGCCACAAATCCACAATCAAGTTGCAAAGGCTTAATGAATTGTTATCTGTTAGTTGAACAGTGATAATGCTTGTAAACTACTGCAGATGAGAGGTAAAACATGTTATCTTTAATAGCTTTCACCAAGACTTAAGCTAACACTGTTTACCTCATGTTTGCTCCAGATCAAGAATACAGAGGCAGTTTCAACAACTCTGCTGGCATCTCTTTCCCTCCCCATGCTGCACACCCAGCACCTAACCCAAGCATGTCCAACCTGCAGACACCCATGACCTAACCCAATACGTTGCATCATGTCAAGTAAAGCTTTAGCACTGCTTCAGCAGCTCCAGGTAATTAAATTGATGCTTAATAACCACTTTGAAGTAGCCAGGGGTGCTGGAGAAGATAGAAAAAAAATTAGCATTTCTGGAAATAGAGTGATTTGAATTTGAGTATTCAATTCTACACAATACAATCTGAAAACTTCCTCTCCTGTTTAAGGAATTGGGTAAGGTCAGAGCAGGAAAAGTGTGAGTAAGCCACAGAGAATGCTAAGGCAGAAAGATCAGGAAATAGATCTCAGCTTTTACACCCCTCTTCTTTCAACTGCCCGTAATCCTTCTCACAGCTCCACTGGAAAAGACTCAAGTAATCTTCAAGCATATGAGCAGAAGAAAAGCATCAGGGCTTTACCAAGACTAGCAGATCAGTCACCAATTGGGAGCACTGAACAGTACCAACAGGAGCAGGCTGGCACAAGGCAAAGAGCAGGGGATAGAAGCATATCTTAAGCATCTGAAGATGCTCTGGAGAGGACAAGCAAACCACCAATGGAAACGACAGAAATTAAGGGTTTCGTTGTTTCCCTCCATTTGCCCTCCACTGTTTAATCATTTAACAAAGTGAGGCTGAAAAAACAGAAAGCTCATCTCTCTAGCTGAAGGTTCAAGCAAAGGTTAAATAGATTAAATACTGCTCTGTACAAAACACTCTTTACACCCCTAAACCCATGTCATGACTGTGGGCAAGCAGGAGCTCTAGCCCAGGAATTGTGCCTCAAGCCCCATGGCGTGGGCAGTCAGGCAGAACATATTCTACTGCTGCTCCATGCTCCTGCCGCTGCCAGCAAGGTGCTGGCACAGAAGGGGACACAGCTGGGGAATGCACACACAGCCCTGTGGGACACAGAGAGGAACATTACAACTCTAGGCTATCTAATAAAGGTGAGATAAATGCCAGTGACCTTTTCCTTTATTGCAGCACCTGGCTACAGCTTCACTGCAAGCACAGAGCGCAGGAGGAAAAAAAGTGTTTCAATGCAACTCAATTGCAAAGCAGAAGGTGTTCTAATCCCGTCCTGAGATACTATTTTAATATACTTGGCTAAATGAAAATTCCAGTGACTAATACAAGGGGATTATTAAGAAAGAAAACATACTCTTAAGGGTGTGGAAGTTTGCAAAGTGGTTCAAAAGAATTTCACTTGGTGTTAATAATATTATATTTAATCCTGAAAAATGTATTATTTGAGGATTAATTAATTATGCTTTTCAACTGCAATAATCTCTTTTAAGACTTTGTTTTAAAAAGCCGCATTTTAACCCAAGCAACAAGACTGAACTAAATATCTGAGAAATAAGGTTCTATTCTGTCCACAACACTTGAGTGTTTGCTAGGAAAGCAAAGGGATTTGGGCATCTGCAAATCTGTGGAGTTCAGAGGGCATGTTCTGTATTCGTTTTTATTGAGTCAAGTACAATGAAATGCTCTTTACCCTGCAACAACAAAGGCTGCAAACTATAAAGTGTTTGTACCCTTGGTGAAAGTGTGTAATTCACAATTATCAATATTTGCTTTCTGTGTACTTTCCTAATTATAACACAAAACTTCAAATCTGTTGGACCTGCTACCTGACAGATTTAGCAGAGTCTCTCAGCTTCATGACAGTCACTCAACTCTTCCAACACATTATAGGGCGTGGAATAACCATTTTCCTAAGGGAATCCATGCCCATCCACTTCACTGAAAACTGACTGTGAGATGCTCTCCAAATGGCCTGAAATAGCTTTGAATACCTCATTCTCAAGTTCCCTCTGAAGTCCTGACACACACATATATGCAAGTACTCAGGCAATGCTTTCCACATGGCCCTCCACACACGTAATAAATTTTATTTTTAGTTTGTTTTGTATTATTATTCCCCACAATACACTTCACTCAGCTAAATACTCCAGTTTACCAAAGAGCATGAGCTTACAAGCAAGTGGGCACCTTCAGTTTGAACTGAACCAATCTGGTGTGCTATTTCATTCACAGATTACAACTGAAGAGATAAATATGAGCCAAACCTGAAACAAAGACAGCCCAATCCACTTCCCAGGAGCCAAAGGTGCCACTCTGAAGGCAAATGTGGCTTTGAGGACATTGAACAATGTGGTCACTCCTCATTACACCAAGAGAAATCCATGAAAGATTCACTTCTGCTGCAATATTTTCCTAACTAACCTACCAGAAGATAAACTACTACTGTAATCATCAGCTATCCACATCCCCTCTCTTTGATAGAGACTTGAGGATACACCAAGAATACCTGTTAATGTTTAGAATATAAGTCTAAACATGCTGAGACATACATTCGGTACTTTGCATAGCATACATCTATGTTATGGCAAAAATCATTCTCTTGCACCAGGTCACAGAAGCATCATTAAAAACTAGGACAAATTAGGACACTACATGCTATCAGAAATAAACAACCAAAAGACCATACATCAGGCAAAAATGATTTTTTTTTTTTTTTTTAACACATCATTCTGCAGAAAAGTTCACTCACACCCAGAAAGTTGCATGGGAAGTAGGTGAACATTGGAAGAAAGCATTGGACTTTTAGGGTGGAGGAGAGTGGAAAGGACAAAAGAGACAATTGTAGAGTTAAGGTTTCCAATTCTATGTATTTAGGATTATACATCTCAGAACAGAGCCTCCTGAGTGTTGAAGGCAAAGCTGTCTGCACCCCAGTGGTAACATGCTGTCTCAGGGCAAAAGCTAGAAAAATTCTAGTGACCACATTAGAAAAAAACTACAATATAACAAATGACATCCATGTTGTGTTATGACTCCTGGACCTTAGAAACTAAACTGCTGACTCTAGCAAAGTTGGCACTGTGGACTTCTGAAATCTGGAACGTATTGACCACCACCAACTCCAAAGGCCAAAGATTTATGAGAAAAATCTGCCATCGGTGCACTTGGCTGCCTCCAGAACAACCTCTTACTCTTCAGATGTATCTCTGGGAGTCTTCAGTATGTTTGGTGTGCACATATTGTACAGGCAATTATATCTGCTAACCAATAAGCGGGACCCATCTTTCTTATTTTTAAGGCTCTACAAAGGATTGCATAAAAGATATAATAATATTAGAATGGGAAAAGAGGTGAAAGATGTAAATGTACTGCTTGAGAGAGCTTATGTAAAGAAACAGACCATAATTAAAGATTTAAAATGCCTATCCACCAGCTCACATATCTCTCATTCCTTATCACTGTCATCCTATGATCTTTCTCCCATCTCCCTGCCTTGTAGAATGACAGTCCCCACTATGATGCACACAGCTTGGTTCCAAAATGTAATGAACTGAGCCTCAAAATAGATAGCGGCCTCTAGATATTTCAAGCCTTTCCCTTTTAATAGTTTGCTCTGTATCCTTTAGTTATCGATGAAATGCAACATACACATACCAGTGCAAGAATTTGTAATCAATTCACTTGGTGTGGATGGACAAGCTCCAAAAAAAGCCCAACAGGGAATACCTAGTGACCCAAATCTTCAGGTTACCTTTAACAGCAATAAACCTTCCCTTTTATTGCTCTATTTTTAATGCATTTAACACAGGGCTGTGTGATTGAAGCACTGTCTACACTGAGGATGTTTTTCCAAAATGTTTCTTTATTGTTAACCATGGCTAGATACCACGCTAACAGGCAAGAGGATCATGAAAAGGAATAGGACATCCTCAAGTTCCGGCCTTGGGCTGACCTTACCTACTACCAGAAATGTGCACAGGGAGGAATGGTAGCCTATTTACACTAGGGTTGGAGCACAGACCACTGAACTCACGTGAATAAAGAATCAAAACAATGAAAGGATCTCTTCTAGAAGCATCTTTTAATCAGTATCTTGCAGGTGCCTGACAGAAATTTTCCAAGACATATACTTGTTTTTCTGCTGACCAAAATGCTTCTAGAAGGGCAGTAGCACTTGCTAAACTTTGATGATTAAAACACTTCTCTCCTGACAGCTTCTACCATCATTCAAGTCAGACCCAAAGCTCCAGTGAGCAGCAGAGTAGGCAGCTCCTGTACCTGCTGAAGCAGAGTTAACCAGCTCAAGCTGGTATGTCCTGCAGCAGAGCCACACAGTAGCTTTCAGCAGGTTTGGTTTTGCAAGATTAAGTCATTTCAGGAAGATGCAGAAAAATCCTGAACAATAATTGCAACATGCAAGATCACCATCAACAAACTAACACACACACATCAGGAAGTTAGCCAAGGTTAGGAACTACACTGTGCTTGAACATGGCATCTCCTCTTCCAGTATGTAACATACATGTACTGTTAGAAAGAATTGTATGTACAGCTCTAATTAGCTCTTCTACTAAAGAAGTACGAAAACACAAAACCTGAAAGCATTTCCAGAGAAGAAAAAAAACCCTCTTTTTCTCTCCTGACATCTAATGGTAAAAGAGCATCAACATATCCCTCCATAAGTTCCTTCGAATCTAGAAGCAGATTTCTCTGAAGACATGTATTTTGTGATATGCCATGCAGGACATATCACTCTCTCGATGGATTTGTGGATTCCAGGAAAACAGAGCTCCCAATATTAATATGAAAAAGAAGAAATCAAATATAGTGCTTAGTATGAAGAATATTGTTAAAGTCTGAAGTGTAGAACAGCCTTAACAAATTGTCACTAAAAACCCTTCTTAAAGATCTGTACGGGGGTGGGTTGTACACATGACAAAATGCAAGTGCTGAACTAAGATAAGGGGCACAAAAAGCAATAAAGGGAGAAAAGGATGACCAATAAGAAAGGAGTTGAAGGGTAAAAGGTGAAAAGTCTTTAAATAGGTTCTGCAAGTGACAGAGAAGTAAAAATAAAGATAAGGGGGTAAAGGAGTAGGTGGTGGAATGGTTCATCAAGTAAAGATTAAAGGTAGCCAAACAAGATGGACTGACTACCTCTGAACACAGCAGGGGCCCTAAAGACTGGAAGGTGGTAAAAGGGCTTAGCATAGCCACAAAAAGGGAAATGAAAAGTCCAGAGCCAGGAGGAGGATTGGGAATAGGAAAGGTAAAGCCCTGGGCTGCTCACCAGCTAGTTAAGAACCCCTTTCTAGAGAAAGGTTTCAGGCCTTGACAGCATCTGCAGTTAAAAGTTTAACTTTCAAGGCAAGACCAAGAAAAATATTTTTACTGTAGAAAAAAAAAAAAAAATTAACATCACAAGGCTAAAGGAGATAAACAGCAGCCTTTAGATCCTGAATCCTATCCAATGGCTCCTTTTGCATTACTCAGAAATAAGCTATAGATAACTTGTGTCAAATACAGCATAAAAAACCCCATTCCAGTCCTAAACCAGCACGGCTAAAGAAACAAGAAGAGAATTTGGTCAAAAACCTCAAAGTACGCAATTCAAACCAGCACTTAACACACATCCTGAGTGATTTCCTCAGAAGAAAAAATCTTCAGGATCTTTCGCCTATTTAAAACAAATTTTCATTACTAACGGAGTAAAAAACGTTCCAACTTGTGCTGTGTGGTGGAGCCAGGCTAAAACCCACTTTTGAGTAACCAAATTAAAAGTTTTAATACATCTACAGACGTTTTATCCTTGCCCTAATATCGGCACTGTTTGCAAAGCGCTAGCTAAGTCCATATGGATTTTGACTCTCCATATACAACCCATTCAAATAAGTCTGGCACTCCAATTTTTCTAGACTTGGTTTTAAATTCACATTTAATCAAATCCTTGAATTCTCTGATTTATCCAAGAAAGGTAATTTCACCCTTAAAGGCTCTTTCCTGTGGATTTTCCAAGCCATCCAATAGTACAGACATTACCACCTAAAGAGGAATTTCCCATGAGGTTTCTGAGGTAAAGGAAAACCAACCCACCTTGCAGTCTCCTTCCATTCCATTTCTTGTCCATCAACGGCCAGAAGCTCATCCAGCTCCGTGAAAAGCTGCGGGGGTGCTGGGCTGTCATCTTCCTCTCCCAGAATGAAGCGGACACGTTCAGCAGCAGGGGAGACTGCAGAGGTGAAAATACTGCGGTTAACAGCCTGAGAGATGACCAAGGATGTGCGGCTCCTCTCCTTCCCCTTCTCCCCAAAGCCATTCAGTTGTTTCTCCAAGCTGTCTTTTCCGTTTGACATCCTACTCGTGGACAGAGGGGCGTGAGCGAGGGTCTGTGTATCACCCTCTCTTCCCTTCCTCGCTTCTCACTTACTTCTTAAAACTTCAAGCTGGGAGTAAAGTTCAGGAAAACTTGCCTCTTTCTACAGTCCTTAACTATGTTACAGCAATTTGCAGTCCTTGTAAAAAAAGAGCTATCAAGCTCAAAACCAATATGCTCTATGGTGCGTGCCCAAGGACCTTTAGTACTCTGATCAGCTGAGATCCTTAGCCCCCTTTTTTTATATGACGTAAAACCAGTTTCAGCCAAACTGTTTTGGGGCTTATTGTGGCAGCATCCCATAGCTGGCTTTCCCCTCCCTGCCAGCCCAGCTCATGCTCTCATTGGCCTGCAAGGCAAGCCATAACCTTCCCAGCCCTATTGCTAGAAAACACAGGAATATTTAACAGAAACTTTGTCTCATCTATACATGAAGAATGTGACTGAATGCTTTTAGTCAGGCACCAATGAACTGAAAAAAAACAACTGTACCACTGGGAACAGAGTTGCCCATTTAGACAAAAGGAACGATAGCCAACACATGCTCTTCTGGTAGTGCGAGTGAAATTCATCTGCTTATGGTAAAGAAAAATTAGCAGAAGCCCCTTCCTAGTCAACAAACAGATGCAACTTGAACAATTGAAAACATGGCCATATGCATGCCAAGACCAAAGTGCATCTCCAAAAGGCACCTGAAGCCCATGCCCCAAAGCAGCGTTGCTGGAGGACTTCTTGGGGTCTACAGCTTTTTTCTTATCAAATCACTTTAAAATGAAGGTGCGATACTGTGAAATTTTAAGACAGACATCTTTCTGCTGAAATGTTTATTAGCATTAGAGTTTAACAGCAGACCATGAACTTTGAACAGTTCTGCTAAAAACTCCTTTCTTTTCAAAAGATCAGCTGTCTGTCTGTTGCAATATAATTAATTACACCAGTTGTCCAATCAACACTGATTCTTCGAGGGTAAACAAAGTCTCAGTGTGTAATGTGAAAAATGAACCAGGAAGAAACATACCCTCTCCTGTTTTGTTACATACCTACATATATATATAAATATACACATAAAAAATATGCACACACACACACAATAATAATAAAAACTTTCATAGCTTTTTTCTTAAATTATTATACAAGAGTTGATGCAAAAGCATTCCTTCACTAGTAAGGGTGATGATGCCTTAACAATAAAAGTCTTTTCTCAACTGAAAGTATATTGACAGTCAATATAACAAACTGGTATTATTTTTGTAGTTGGCAATGCCTTTGTTTCTTTTTTTTCCCATTACACTCTTCTAATGCTGCCATTCACAGTAATACAGCAGTAGGAATAAACCTCACAAAAGAGAATACTTTTCCCCACAAAGCTTGGGAGCCAACTAGGTTCTGCTCAAGCTATTCAGAATGCTCCTGCAATGAGACAGAAGAAGACCAGGCTTACTTCTGAAAGCAGTGTACCTCTAAAAACAAGAACTTCCACAATCTATGGTTTGCCCTAAAACACCTACAGGCATTAGAGGCCTGGTTGTAAGCTATGCACATTTACCACCCTCCATCTTCATCCAGCTTCTGGCCTCATGGGACAGGTATGGAAGAGGCAACACAGCTTGAGGATGGGTTCTTGGAAAATACACATTAATGCTTTGGTAATCAGCACTCTTATACAAGCACTAGTTCCTAGAAACTTTTTTTTTTTCCCCAGATATGTTTCTCAGGATCGATGACATGGCATAATGAGTATTTAATCACTCAGTTTGAGTGTAACAGATGCTCTTTGTGTAACAGTTCCAAAATATCTGCAAACACATAACCTTATGCATGAAAATTGTGCTTGCAATTATAAAAGCAATTTGGACTAAAAAACTGCATCTAAAACACGTTTAAAAATCAACATTCGTATAAATAATTAAGATTTTCCTATTCTAAAAACCTCAATTAGGCATCACACTTGAGCTTGTCTTTATACAACCAGCTCAAATCAACCAGTGGCGCCAGGATTTTGTGCTGAAATCGATTTATCTGAGCACCAGAAGGCAGGTCTCAAATTCTGGGTTTGCCACACCACTTTCGCTTGTGCAAAACCACTTCATCACTCGTTGCCTTGGCTTCCCATGGCCAAATCCCAGCCTCCCTCCTCCTGTTCTGTTCAAACCACACGTGCTTCAGGGCAGAGATCTCTCACCACACTTACATATGGGAAATACCTACTAAAACAGTCCAAAGTTTCAGCTGAGTTATTTAAGTACCACTGTACTAGTGGATTGCTTATAATTTAACAACCTTTTTTTCCCCCCATTTCTGAAATGCTTCAGACATGAGATGTACACAGATATGCGCACCCTCCACAACAAACTACACAGATAATAAAGATGACACCTGTCCAAAAGAACACCAAACAGCTGACAGCATGAACTTGCATGCTTCTCTGATATGCTTTCAATTTATCTACAGAGCAATCCTAGGAAGCAGCTGCTATTCTTCTGCCATCGAATGGTTTCACAGTGACAGAAGGGGTCCAGGCAAATGAAGTCTCAGCTCTTGCTGAGGGCCGTTTATGGGTGTCTGAACTCTGCTGTCATCCTCCAGACGAAGAGCAAGACCTGCTGGCTAAGTACCCAGAATTTTCATCAGCTTTCCTCTCAATAGACATTTTAAAATTCTTCACAGAGTTTAAATATCACAGCCAGAAAAGCCATAAAATGGATTTACATCTTACAGCTTCAAAAAGCAACTTGGAGCACAGCAAGCAGCTGGTGCATTAAGCAGCCAGTAAGAGGAGCTTCTAGAACTACTACTGGTACTGGTTGCGGCCAACAGAAAGAAAGAAATTTACGTTGTTTCACTCATTTTGAAGTGGTTGTTGTTACTTGAAAATGTTACTGATGTATGATCCTGTAACATGGTAATTCCACAATGGGCATCAAAATTTTGCTCCCTGGACTGTGTCCTAAAATTAATTACAGAAACACTCTCACTCTATCTGGAGTGTATCTCAAGTCACTCCTTTCTCTCCTTCTTTCCTTTGTTTTTCCTAATTTCAGATTAGCTGCTTTTAGCACAAAAGATAAGGTTCAAAATCCAATTAAGGAACTTGCTGGGTCACAGGTCTCCTATGGCTTTGCTTTACCACATGGTCTTTATTGCGATTTTGTAGGTTAATGGGCCGTTTATGGGTTGTTTATGTGCTCTTTAGCAAGGAGAACATATTTTCATCCTAATCTCCCCAGTGAACACTGTGTGCTAAGCACCGTGTAGACAGCTGAGTATCAGGCTTAAAGCAGGAGAGCAATTACCGTGGGGAGTGAACCCTGCAGACCTCCCCCTGCCCGACCTTTGAGCAACGGCCTCCCCAGGCCTTGACCATCACCTTCACTTCCATCTACCTAACCCAGCCAGCCTGGGAGCTGCTGAGATCAGCACTGATAGCGCCCAAACATCTTTTCAACATTGTTTTTATTGCAGTCTCATTCAAGAAACAACCTGATTATAACAGACGTAAGTATTGGAGAAAATGATAATCCACAGATTTAGATGGTTAGGATTACATTTTTCCCTGAATGGAAGAGGAATTAAGGTACTGACTGCAGATGGCAGAATGCTCCAATGCAACACTTAAATGTGGATAGTGATGCCCAATAAGGGCACCTCTTAGCTTCCCCTTTTCCCTTTCCCCATGCTCACTAAAAAAGCAGTCCATGAAGTGGCTTATACAACAAATCGCTCACTGAAGAGAACGAACACATCAGCAGTTTCTCCTAGTTCAGCTCAGGCCAATTACGAGTACAATTTATACCCTCAGGTTCCCAAAGGCAAAATCAATTTTCATCAACACACAGAAATCACAGGGAGAAATACAGAGAGACATCCTAGCATGACAGCCTCACACAAGGCCACAGCTGAACTCCTCAGCCCCACTTGTGCAACTGCCGGCTGTTGTGGGAGCCCTCCCTCACCGCCCAGCCAGGGAATAAGGCAAGTGGCTGCCCACAGGGCTCCCTGCTGCTCATCAGAGCACTGGGGGCCTCATGACAGAAGCACATGTCCTGAAGTCCTCTCATGCTCCAGCACCAGGGACCTCGCTCACAGTGGGCACAAGACAATGTGGCAAGGAGGTTGGTTGCAATCCTGCCTCCAAATGTGAGAAGCCTCCTTTGAACTGGAGAGCACTCGTTTGTGACAATGTACAACTGGAGCAGGACTCCTCAAACCAACAACTATTGCTTTCTCTGAGTCTTTTTCTCCTTTGTTTTAACCAGCAATGCTTCTGAATACCATTCCAACTCACACCTCAGCCAACAGCTTCCTCCATTAAGGCCAAAGAGCCTATCTAATACAAAGAACTCCATCTCTTTCAAGTCCAAGTAGTGGCTATAAAAACCCCCAAGAGACCTGCCATAAATCCCTCCTCAAAGCCCAAGGTAACATTATCAAACAGGGCTATTTGTAAAACATGCTTTCCAAACACAGTTATTAAAACAGGACATGATTACCCTCCCATTAACTCCTGGGGCTGCCCTCTGTCAGACAGAAGTCAGTTCAAATCAGTTTGAAGTCGGAGTGAGTAGTGGAGTTAAACACCTGTGGCAGAAGCTTTTATCAGATTTAAAGTGGTTTTCTTACTCATTTACCTGACCTCGCTTCCAAAATGAATCAACTAACATTAAACAACTTTAATTCTGCATGTTACTGTCTATACAAGACCTCATGCCACTCAATCTCCCTGAGGATTTATACCTTTGATCAGCTCCCATTCACATTCCTGAGTGCTCTTGCATAGACCTGCCCTGGAGTTTAAATACACACACAGTTCAAGAGTCAACTGCCACTAAGAAAGATGACAAAAACCCCAATGCTTT